CCACATCCTGAAAGCATATGTTCATTCATCTCTTTATACTCATCAATTGTATATATGCTTATAGGGTGGGGATCTCAACCATTTCCAAGTTATATACTGGGTTTTTGTTGGGGGTTGGGGCTGGGGGGGNAATTATATCCCCACCACCCAGGGATGCTTCCAACCTAATAGTGTTGCTAAATTATCCAATTTGGTCCCTTCGATTTGTATAACTTTGAATCTCCACCTCCTTTGTATCCAGTGAATAGTTCTAGCGAAGAAGTTGTTTATAGCAGTTTTGCATAACTTACTTCTTTTGGACCTGCCACACATTTCTACAATTTTAAATCCCCATCACCTAGGGATGCTTCGAGTCAAATATTAGTTAAATTCCAATCAGTAGTTAAGAAGAAGGTGTCGTTTGAAGAAATTGTTGACGAACGGACGGCGGACGCCACAGTTTGGCTAAAGCTCACCTTAGTCCTTATAACCGGTTAGCTTGTAATCAAGTTTAAGTAATTTCAGAGAACAGTGAAAGAGGTGCAGTATTTGGAAATGTCTGTTAAAATATCTGGCAATACCTTAAAATATCTGACAATACCTAAAATGTTATCAATATATAAATTTATTTTGAATAATGATTATCTTCAACCGGAATCAATATTTAACATAACAAGACACCACGTAGTTCTCTGGGCATGTTACTTGAGTGCTTGGAACAGCTGAATTCAGTTGTCATGTTCCAATCAAGTCTTGGCAGGTCCCGTAAACAACAGACTGTATGTTATTTCTGTTATATAATTGGTTCTCTAATCCAGGTGTTAGCATTTCCTTTAATACATTGATATGAATGACATTTTCGTCCCCCGATATTTGCATGATAGTTCCTGTGTTACCATTGCAGAGCTTTCTTGCACACCAGAAGTACGGTTTAAGAGTTGGTTTACAAGGTTATTTAAACATTTGAAGATTTAAGTTATTGAAATTGTGGACGGTGGCAGATATGGAAGTAGAGTAAAAAACACTGCTAAAGTTTCTCGGTCGGAAGTCGATCGGTATTGAAAATATTGATAGTATGATTTCCTGTCACTTTATAACGTATGCATTTTCCTTTGCAAGAACAGCTAGGAAATTGCTGTTGGAGACCCTACAGTTTTCACTCTCACTCTAGTAGATAGAATAACACGACATAAGCAACCATATTGCTCTTAGAGGCCCTGTGCGGAGGGGTATACAACAATCACAGCTTCACAATGACCTCATCTTGTGGTGCAGATGCTACTTTTAACAATAAGCATTGACGGCATACTTGCCTCAACAAAAAGTCTTTTAGCCTAACCCTAACCCTAACCCTACTCTGGCGATGTGCTGGTTGCAGATCTGCTTCAACTTTATGGATTTTTTCCCCATAAAAATGCCTGCTGTCATTATCAAAACAGGAACTAGATGTTAAGCTGATATCCAACTCTCTCTCACCTCCCCTTCCCCCTTAGCTGTGTGTTGTGGAGGCTGATATCAATTTCAACTTTTGAAATTTATTACTTCATTTCAAACAAGGTTCGTCCTTTCAGTTTACAAAGTAAAGGTAACAAGTTTGGTCAACTTAACACTCTGTATAATATAATATCATCCGACATCTACTGCAATGTAAAATGCATCTATCAATACAAATAATCAGTGTTTATATCACAAAGAGCTTAATATTACATGTACAACATGTACATATGTTTTCACGCCGGAGCTTAACACCCCCACCAGTCCAATCTAGCAGACGCCATATGTTGTTACACATGCTCTTGTAACTCTAGTTTCTCAATATACAGATTAAAACTTGCATTTTAGTTAAGTACCAGAGTATCAATTAACAAAAAGTAACATTTTTAAAGAAAATTTAACAACAATTGTATCAATTCGATCAGGCAACACGATTTACAACCACAATACATAGTTAAACCACAAATGTGATTACAAGCTAAACTAAAAATAATGCTTTATGCTTCATGTACATTTAGGGCAAGATTGATCCTCAACTATAGCGACTGTGGTCTAACTAGAGTATGATCTAACTCGCTTTAGTAAATTGAATTGCGCAGGTGTAAAGAAACAAGACGTTTCGGTGCGCATGCCTTGCAACTAAAATACAACCTACCGATTTCCTTTGGTCGGACCAGAGCAACTAGTGGTCGTCTGCGCACGCATCATTATTTGAAAGCAAGGCAGTGATTGGTTGTTGCTTACCAGCATGTGTAAGCAAATTAAATGTAACAGTCCGATTATGGTAAATGGTTGATGACCAAACTCGCCCGTAGTAAGCCCCATGTGGGTGACCCAGATTAGGCCTACAGAACAAGTCCACAGTAAGGACAGGTTTGTCGCTATGGAAATCTATATATATATATTCAAATAACCAGAAGGATAGGGACCGTGATATGTACATGAGTGGGTGTGTCTGAATTATCATAATGTATCTAAAAAGACCACTTATACACCTGCTGCCGTACGCTATAGTATGTTAACAATACTGTTTATATACAGTTGATGCATTATCACTCGATAATTAGTGACCCTAGGGGCCAGGCCCAGGGGTCTCGGCTACTGTATAGTCATGACATCATTCCATGTCAAACCGAAATACACCAGAACTATGTACATCCATAACAAGAGGCCCAATGGACCTTAAGGCGCTCAACTGATTTATGTTGGCTTAATTTTCACAGTTCACAGCATTTCATGTTAATAATGTACTCGCAAATAAGATATCAAGATATCATTATCCTTGAACTACGCATTTTGATTGATGCCTGTCTGTCCGTTTGTCTGTAGACACTATTTTGTTTGCATTACCCCTCCTAAAATATTTTACCGATTTAAATGATGCTTTAAACACAGTACCCTGTCATAAAAGACACAGATTGGATTTACCTCCCCAATTTATGGAATTATGACCCTTTATTGAAAACTCCATTGTACGCACTACTCATCCCCAAGTCCTGCACCAATCTGGATACTCGGTACACATAAAACTAAGGAACTACTTCCCATATTTATTGAGATATGCCCCTTTGTTGAAAAACAACATTGTACTCACTACTCATCCCAAAGCCCTGCACCAATCTGGATACTCGGTACACATAAAACTAAGGAGCTACTTCCCATATTTATTGAGATATGCCCCTTTGTTGAAAAACAACATTGTACGCACTACTCATCCCCAAGCCCTGCACCAATCTGGATACTCGGTACACATAAAACTAAGGAGCTACTTCCCATATTTATTGAGATATGCCCCTTTGTTGAAAAACAACATTGTACACAATACTCCTCTTTAGGAACTGTGCCGATTTCAATGATACTGGATAAATAGGACCCTTATTTGGCCATGCACACGGAGAGGATGTGAATAAAGTATAGATAGGAGTTACCTCCCCAATTTATTGAGTTATGCCCCTTTATTGAAAAAAAAAGAATATTCCCACAACTCCTCCCGAGGTCCTGCATCTATACAATACAATGATACTTGGTACAATCACTGCTTATATTAAGGGAATGAGCGCTATGTTCCTTTGGTGAAAATAGTATTTGCATTACACCTTCTTAAGTACTAACGGATTTCAATGATCCCTAATAAAGGATATAGATTGGAGTTACAGCTGTAACTTCTGATTTATGTATTACGTCCATTATTTATAAAAAGAACAATTTTCGTACTACCCCCTCCTAAAATACAGCACCAATGTGAATGAAACTGTACAAATATATTGAGGGAATATGAATACAATTCTGAGAATGGAGCTTCCTCCTTTATTTATTGAATTGTGCGCCATTATTGAACAAATTTCAATATTACTGGATGAAGATAACCCTTATATAAAGAGTTTGTAAATGAAGTATATAGATTTTAGCTACCTTCCAATTTATGGAGTAAAGTTTTAAAATATCGTTCACACTTCTCTTCCCAAGGTATTGAACCTATCTGAATGATACTTGCTACACATAATTGAGGGGATTTTAGTAAAATATATAAATTGGCATAACCTCCCCTTATTGTTTAACAAAACGTTGTGTGCACTTGTGCTCCAAAACGTCGCCATCGATTTAGAAAATAATTGGTCATAAATTATAGCCATTACATTAAGGAAAAGCTAATAAAGCAAATTATTGGCGTTATCCCCCCTTCCTTTTTACTGAATTAATTGCCCCTTTACTCTATGGAACGATTTTGTTTGTGGAACGTTGGTATTCTATGTTTTTGTACTTAGTCATATCACAAACGGTTTTCCTTTTATTTACACCACATAAAAACTGATCAGATGCTAAATCTTTTTTCAAGTGCGTAACTATAAATCAAAATAAGGAAATCCTGAATTATTTCTGTTTGCAATGAGATCATATTTTTATATAAACGTCAAACTGATTGAAAATATACGTTTTCCAATATAACATTTGATAGATAAAAATAATTCCTTTAAACACTTGACAAACCACGTTAAAGTTGTTTACTTATTACTCCTGGAACGGAAAATGCAAACGTTGTATAGTGACAGTGAATACAGAGACGTATTTCCAATACCGATCAACTTTCGACCCAGAAGTTTTAGCGGTGTTAACTTCACTTCCATATCTGCCGCCCTCTAAGATTCCAAAAACTAAAATATTCCAGTGTATCTTAACAGCTCTACATTTGTACCTGTTGCGTAAGGGCTGTGGCAAGCCTGCAATTATCATGAAAATATCACGGAACAAATATATTCATTAATATCAATATACTAAAGTATTATGTTGTTGTTGTTTTATATATCAATAAAACTTGTGAAAAAAAATAAAAAAAATAATAAAAAAAATATATATACTAAAGTAAATATTAGCACCTGGGACTGGACTTGCGGTTGGACAGATGTTATGTTTGAATCGATTCACAAAGCCATAAACCCTCTATGATGTCATGGCATATTCCAAGGGTGCAGAGAAAATATGTATATTGAAAACGGACGTACGAAACCGACGAAACGGATAACAGAGACCGACTTAAAACACAACATTGGCACAAAGCTACATTGCATAAACATTTTATTCACAGTGATAATAGAGTTTGCTATTAATATTTCAATATCAAACGAAGTTGATACATAGACGATTCAGATGTATTGGCAAATCTACCTATCAATACTCAATTTATGACAGACATCTGTAGATTTCTGAGCCGGGTAGGCCGCCAGGTATGTTATGGCAGACACGATATGGTTGGTTAAGTAGGGTAGGCATCACATTCGAAACCTAACACATGTAACCTTTTGACTTGTCTTCATCCCAACAATCTTGGGTTCGGTTACTTTGATACACTGCCAGCTATCGGGAAATGTGTCGGTATACTAATGAGTGGCAAGAGTTTACTTATCTCGCTTAAACGCCAGTAGTGGTACATTCATAATAATGTAAGAGGACAAAATAATCAAAACATGGCAGAGTCAATTGAGATAGAATCTTAATTGTTGTGTAGTTGAATCCTAGTGCTGATATGTAGTTAAACTTCCGCAATCACTGATCAACATTGATATAATTATAAATAATATCTAATAAAAGTAAATAAAAACCTCCCGGAACACTCACAGAAAACGCCAGCCCCTCAACTCCACAAAAACTATCGTATGGCTGACCGTTCAAACCTCCAGGTGAGAATAACAACATAAGTTAGGGTTGTGGCGGAGTGAACAAATTTGATTATTTTTCAAATAAATCTTCTTTTCTACAGCATCCGAGCACATCACGTGGACTACATACCTCTAAAGGCGTTGCCTGTTATATGTGCATGTACCCTCTTGAAGCACGAACAGATTGTGTGCACTAACACTGTGTGGTGTATGTCCATCCAAGTCAATTGGCGAATTTCGGCTAGGTAAGGTGGGTTGTCTGTATGCAAGTGTTTCAAATTGTGCTGCAAATTATTCATCGCTAGTGTGTTTGTCCAAAATGTTACAAATTACGTAAAATATGCTTTTAGCTGTCCAGCTTCCTCTGCCATGTCATCCTCGCTGCGTCTGCCCGTCGTCATGTCTTTGTCGTGATGCTGTAGCTGTAAGAGAAAGTGCGGGATAGTTACATGTAACTGTAACAAAGCAGTCAGGTGAATTTACCACCTGCACCGTGAGTGCTGGATCAATACGTTCAAATAACAAAATATTCGTTCAAAATGCTGATAGTTATGTGAAATTCAAACTTGAAACAAGGTTACTGCGAAGCGGTCATAATACGCCAGTTATTGTAGTATGAGCAGTTGTTCGCATCATTGGAAAAACAATTGTGAGTAATTGATGTTAAAGGAGAAACAATTCAACATATCAAGTAGATCAATGAGTGCAATAAAACATCTTGTAAAGCTAGTACTACTGCATTAATGAAACAAATAATTGTGATTACATTCACACAACTAATGCAGGGGGCATAACTCGGTAAATTACATTTGGATAATGGTTGTTATCCGACCGAGCTATCATGGTAACTAAGTGATGTTTGAAGTTAATCTGTTTCAGCAATGTAGTATAGTGGCATAATACTGCAAATTACAATAAGATAGTGGTGCTTATTGAACTTCTTTAAACTTTCATGATAATTAAGAAGAAGTTTGAAGTTAATCTTTTGAAAATTAATTGTGTTATATAGACTGGACATCTCTTAAGCAATTGAATTAAGAGACATAACTCAGTAAATTACTGTCAGATAATGTTGGTAATCGAACTTGTACGAGAACTCACGGTAAATTACCTCATATGAAGTATGCTATTAATCCATTGTAAATCACTCGGATATATTGAGCGGACAGTGTTCTGCGACTGAGTAAAAGGGCATATCTCAATAAATTACAGTCAGATAATGGTTGTTACCGAACCTAGAACACATGAAAATTAAAATTCCTATGAAGTTTGTAGTAAATCCATTGTAAATTACTCGATATATCGAACGGACACTATTTCAGCTGATCATTATTCAGTAAATTAGGTTTGATAACGGTGGTTAGATATTTGTCAGAACTTCTACTTCTACAGGGTACTAACCAACTTCAACAATTTGAAGGTTACTGTCAGAGGAGGGTTTAAATAGGAAGAGTAACGGTTTTGACAGGTGGAATTTAGTTTGGTTTTGCAAAGTGACGGTAGAGGCTTGATTTAAAAGAATGTGTTGTCAGGCTAGATACAGTATCAGGAGGGAGTTTATTCCACTCGGATATAGTTCGAGGGAAGAAAGTTTCTTTTCTAGACAGAGTTTTGGAGAAAGGAATTTGGAAAGAGAGCTTGTTTCCATGCCTGGATTTTCTGACAGGGGGAATAAGTCTGTCAGATCTTGCAACAGCAACTTTATTATTGACAATATTATAAAACATGGTAAGACGTGCATGTCTTCGTCTATCTGCTTTCTATAACTGTCATGGTAGTTAACCTGCCCATGAAGATTGAAGATATCCGTTAAAAACTGACCGAGATATCGAGCAAACACTGTTTCAGCAATTTAATAAAGGGCCATAACTCATAGGTCACTGTCATATAACGGTGGTTATCAAACTCCTTTGAGCTTCCATGGTAATCAACTGTCCCATGAAGTTTGAAGTTTATCCGTTGAAATTACTAAAAATATCGAGCTGACACTTTTTCAGCAACTGATTATGCGGGTCATAACTCAGTAAATTTTAGTCAGATAATAAAGTTTATCACACTTGTCGGAGCTGTCATGACAATCAACCTTCCTATGAAGCTTAAAGTTACTTCGTTTAAAATTACTTAAGATACATGAATCAAGTGGACTCCGTTTCACAATTGATTAAAAGGGACATAACTTAATCAATTACGGTCCGATGATATTGGTTATCGAACTTGTCTGATCTCTAATAGCAAATAACCTTCCCGTGAATTTTGAACTTAATTCGTTTAAAATTACTCGAGATATAGAGCGGAAACTGTGTCAGCGATATATTAAAAGAGCATATCTCAGTAAATAATAGTAAGATAATGGTGGTTATCGAACTACTTGTCCCAGCTCTCATGGTAATTAAACTTCCCATAAAGTTTGAATTTAATCTGTTGAAAATTACTCGAGAAATCGAGCGGAGACTGTTTCAACAATGTTATAAAAAAGCGTAACGCAGTAAATTACGGTCGGATAATGGTGGTTAATAAACCTCTCCCAGCTCTCATGGTAATTAACTTTCCCATGAACTTTTAATTTTGTTGTAATTTACTCGAGATATCGCGCGGGACACTGCCCCACACCCCGAACCCTGCCTGCCTGCTTGCCTGCCCGCGTGATTACATAATACATCCCGTCTTCTGATGATAGTATAAATGATCATGACTACGTTATGAATTTGTCTATTTTTTGTGTGGCTCATCACCATAATGATGCCCGATGAAAAAAATCTTGAATTATATGAAACATGATCATTGCGATATGATATTGATAAGTGTGATATATAACGGGTATTGTTATAAGTGCAACAAAAAGAAAGAAAAGTGAAAATATTTATGTGTTTTCTTGCGGTTAAGTATTACGTATTACCAAAATAAGCTATACTGAAAATCAGAAAAAACTAACCTTTGTATAAATTTCATCATTTTGCTCGAAGTCACCAGCTTTCCGAGGCATGACATGCACATGGACATGCTAGAAAAAACCAATTCAAATCTTCATTAAAAGATTTTTTTTTTTTAATTGAGTCAATTTCCTAAAGGACGAAATCACTCGTCAAACAATAAATTAACAAATAAATCAAACAAGCCCCACTCTGGCCATCAAATTGCATGTCAAGTTTGGTTGGTCTAGCACTTAAGGATTCCCGTCAAAGGCAGAGCAAATTACTAAAGAATTCCACTGTCGTTTTTCAGTGTAAGAGTCACCTGCCCCTGATTACCATTTTGACAATTTTGTTATCCTCCCTTGAAAAGACTTCGTTTGGATAACGTTTCGACTACAGAGTTAAGTCCTTGAGTTGAAAATCTCCAATCGCGATTTGTGGGGAAAACAACGTCGTCGTGGCAGGCATGGCCGATACGTAAGCCCCACGTAAAACGGTCGTTTTAAACGTTAACTAAACACATTAACTGACCAACATAACAACAATGATGTTCAAAATCAACTGCTAGACCACGACTATGCGACGAAACAAAGTGACACTCGTTCACACATTGAAGAGACGCTGATTACTACTGAGGTCCCTAAACTTACTACTGATAATTTGACCCATGAGCCGACACCGACGTCCGTTGATGATCCCTCCAGTACTAGTGGTCACGAATACGCCAATCACGTTTTAATCTGGTCGCAGGGTAGACGAATGGTTGAACTCGCGGTGTTATCTGAATACCTTGTCCAGAAAAGTTACTCAAAGCTAGAAGGCTCTAGTAAAAGACTCAAAAAACACCTACAATGCACACTGTACTTTAGATGATATCAAAACACTACAGAAACTAATACTCAATCACAAGGTAAGTAATTGTCAGCTGATAAAGCAGAGTTGTGCCCTTGAATTTGTGAAATGCTCTTTTGAGCTTAGGAGCAGCATGATGGCCAAGAAGATTTCAGCATCGGGCTTGGACTACTCGCACCTGAGGTTGGCCTTTGACCGTGATGGCTGAGACGGTATTTCAAATGTCTTGTCTGAATTTGTCAACTCAACTCTGAAAGTTTGTGTGACAAGGTGTTAAAAAGTGCATCAGACTATTTTAAAGCACTTTCAAAAATCTGCATGAAACCTGAAACTGTATGTGTATTTGTCGACTGGTTTATACAAGGAATGTTAGGAATAATGCTTCTCTGTGATCTTTGTTTGATTTGTTATTATATTCCCTATATTTCATTTATTTTTATTTTTTATATCACATACAACAGTCAATGTTATTTTTACAACGTGATATTTTTAAACAACAATTAAGGTTTGAAATGCATCTTTTTAACATTTATGAGGGTATGCATCACAGTTCCGTCCAAACATATGGTGGTGCATACCCTCAAAAATGTTAAAAAGATGCATTTCAAACCTTATATTTACATTCTATTACATCCACTTCTTTAATTTGAAATTAAGAAAAAATAGTCTTTTTTTCACGTTAGAAAGCAAAACACCGTCATGAAAACAACATTAATTGAACAGCCTTTTTCGCGAGAAAGATGATGCGTTGTCAACGGTGACAAAATACACATTTGAGCAATAAATAAATAGCTCCACTATACCCACCGTTTATACAAAACTGAGTCTCCTTGGCCCAAGGATGCTCCAGACTAAATAAGGATAAATTCCCTGAATTCCGATGGTCGAAAAAGGATTATAAAGGTTTTACCTCTATTTCCCCTATTGGGCCTCGCCCCTCGGGTCCCGGGGGTTGGGGGTTGGCGGTTGAGGGTTGGGGGGCGTTTATACAAAATTGGTTTCTCTTCACCCAAGAATGCTTCGGACCAAATCCTTTCATTCCTACAGTAGAAGAAGGATTTTAAAGAATTTGCTACATTTCCCCTAATGGGCCCCGCCCCTCAAGCCCGTGGGGGAGGGGGGACCCACCATTTATACAACATTTGTTCCCCTTCCCCCAAGGATGATTCTGACTAAAGTTGGTCAAAATCCGCTCAGTCGTTCATGACTAGTAGCGATTTGTTTATAAAAAGTTGACGAACGCCGGGCCATGGCATAAGCTCACCGGTCCTTCGGACCAGGTGAGCTAAAAACTTAAAGTTGATGGAGATGCTGACAAAGTGAATGAGCCATGAAAGGTAGGTCACATCCAGCATTTGATGCATGGGTTGAAATGTACTAACCAAGATCCATCTATAGTCCATGTTTAGTTGGTCTAGTACTGATACTTTCAGTGAAACTAACTTAAGCGCAAAAACTTAATGTTGACGCCCCCGTCGCCGGAAAAGCAACACCTTAGTCTAGCTTACGCTACTTCGTGGCGGCGAGACAAAAACGGTGTCCCTGTACTCTATGGCGACAATATAACGGTGTTCTCTTTCGACACCAACATAGGGATGTTTGCGACGTGAAAAAAACATGACTCACCTTACAACGGGTGTATCTCTAAATGACAACATTTTTAATTGGAATTATAGTCACTTTTTTTAAATGTCTGAGATGTTATATGTGAATCTACCAGTAAAACTTACCTTTAGGAATGTAACTACATGTATTATAAATATGTAATACATGCACTTACATACATAAACCTTTCTGCAAACCTATTTTCCACATATTATGTTCTTGATAACATTTAAAAGCTATTCCATGCAATAGTAAATATGAAAATCACATAAGAAAGATACCTTATGCAGCACATTTAAATAGTGTTTCAGTTATTTGTTTACAACAAAAAATCAAAAAATCTGTACCTTACAAATACAGATTAGTGAAAGAGTAATATTACTCAATACTTAAAAATGAGGTCTTAGAAATAAGTGGAATTATTGAATGATTTAATAAACACGAAACTGAAATCAAAAGGAGAAACTTGTTTTATGAACATTCCTTAACTAAAGAAATTCCTCACGTTTGTGAAATTAGGAAGAATGGTACCCAACAAAGGAGCTGTATCTGCCCACCCTTTTCAATATCTCGATGAATAACATCACTTCAAATCTAGAAAAATAACATTAAGACCATGTCTGCGCATCCAATCAAGACCACTTGCCGTAGGCGTCGCGTTAGTGGTGGTCCGACATATGATCGGCGCACACTGATTCTTGGAGCACGCAAGCGATTCCGTGCAGTTTGAGCACTGATAGGTCTAACGTGAGTGCCTATTACCAGTATGAGATGCAGTATCGGTAGCAGTCTAGAATCTGGTGCGCAGGTGCGAATTGCGCGGTCTTGTCGAGTCGTCGTTACATTCGGACGACTTCTCCTGGAACGTTGAGATACTGATCAGCGGCACGCAAACGTGTAAAGAGACGATTTATAGTAGATTAGGCGATACCAAATTGCCGTGCTACAATGGCTTGGCTATGACCATCCAATAACATTGCAATTGATCTACCTCTCTGAACTTGTGTATAATGAGGCATCTTATGCAATAGCAAAAAAAAATGTTCGCATGGAAAAATGATGAGGTTATCATCAAAGACTCGCGTAAAATGATTATTTGCGAAAGAGCATGCCTTGCTTTGTGGGGTCACGCCAATAAATCATAATACTACTGTTAGACAGTGAAGATGTTATTGCAAACCACAGACCACAACATCGGTGTAAAATAACAGACGCATACTCATGTATTTTCTATCTGACCAACACTTTAAACGTTTTTGTTAGATATCACAAGTTGTACGTTTGATAAATTACCTTACACCTAACTAATACATAGCCCTGCAATCCGTCACATGGTGCTGTAATTCAATTTACAATTGAAAACGAGAGTATACTTTGCCACTTACTTTGACCGTCTGTCCTGCCTGTGGTCCGTCCTGCACGCTGACCGTCAGAGAGGACGCCCCATAATGCTGTTCAACCACACCTGCCACCCTTTGTACAACTGAGAACAAGTCCGATAACTCCGTCTGTGTCAGTTCTCCTAATCTCTCCACGCGTCTCATTGTAGAAACTAGTACATGTGTTCAATATTAAAGAACATAAGTAATCAAAAGAAGCATTTCAGTGTACCTTATTCCAATTGTACTTCATCATTTTAAGGCAATGCCGAATGGTGAAATATGATTTAGGCACATTTTAATTGATTATAATTATTTCAATGAACATTGTTTATTCACGGCATTCTTCATTAATTAACTAGACAAACAGTATACTAAAATACGAGGTCCAGTTTTGACATCGTGTGACGTCACTGTGGAATACTTATCCCAGTGTGTTGTCCCTGTGTTTTATAGTTGTGGTATATATTTTTCCTTGTTGGTTGTCCGTGTGTGTTGACACTGTGGTATATATTTTTTCTCTGTGTGTTGACACTGTGTGTTGCCGCTGTGGTATATATTTTGTCTCTATTTGTAGTCCCCGTGTGTTGATGTTGCGTTATATTATGTCCCTTTGTGTTGTCCTTGTGTGTTGACACTGTGGTATATATTTTTTCTCTGTGTGTTCTCACTGTGTGTTGCCGCTGTGGTATATTTTTTTTCTGTGTGTTGCCGCTGTGGTATATATTTTGTCTCTATTTGTAGTCCCTGTGTGTTGATGTTGGGTTATATTATGTCCCTTTGTGTTGTCCTTATGTGTTGACACTGTGGTATATATTTTTGCTGTGTGTTGCCGCTGTGGTATATATTTTGTCTCTATTTGTAGTCCCTGTGTGTTGATGTTGGGTTATATTATGTCCCTTTGTGTTGTCCTTGTGTGTTGACACTGCGGTATATATTTTTTCTTGTTGGTTGTCCCTGTATGTTGACATTTGGATATATTATGCCCCCGTGTAATAACGATGTGGTATATATATATATACTGTCCCTGTATGATGACGTTGGAATATATATTTTATCCCCTAGTGTTGTCCCTGTATGTTGACATTTGGATATATTATGCCCCCGTGTGTTAACGATGTGGTATATATTTTGTCCCTGTATGAGGACGTTGGAGTATATATTGTATCCCCTAGTGTTGTCCCTGTGTGATAACGTTTGGTTATATGATTTCACTGTGTGTTGACTTTGGGGTATATATTTTGTCCCTGTATGAGGACGTTGGAGTATATATTGTATCCCCTAGTGTTGTCTCTGTGTGATAACGTTTGGTTATATGATTTCACTGTGTGTTGACTTTGGGGTATATATTTTGTCCCTGTATGATGACGTTGGAGTATATATTTTGTCCCCTAGTGTCCCTGTGTGATGACGTTTTGTTATGTGATTTCACTGTGTGTTGACTTTGGGGTAACAGTTTTGTTTATATTTTATGTCTGTGTGTTGTCGCTGTAAAATGTTTTATCCCCACGTTTGTGTTGGCACTGTTGTAAATTGTCATTGTGTGTTGACGCTTTTGAATATTTTGTCCCCGTGTGTTGATGCTGTGTTATACATTTTATCCCTGTGTGTTGATGCTGTGTTATACATTTTATCCCTGTGTGTTGATGCTGTGTTATACATTTTATCCTGTGTATTGATGCTGTGTTATACATTTTATCCCTGTGTGTTGATGCTGCGTTATACATTTTATCCTGTGTGTTGATGCTGTGTTCTACATTTTATCCCGTGTTGATGCTGTGTTATACATTTTGTCCCCGTGGGTTGATGCTGTGTTATACATTTTTTCCCTATGTGTTGATGCTGTGTTATACATGTTATCCCTGTGTGTTGATGCTGTGTAATACATTTTATCCCTGTGTATTGATGCTGTGTTATACGTTTTATCCCTGTGTGTTGATGCTGTGTAATACATTTTATCCCTGTGTATTGATGCTGCGTTATACATTTTATCCTGTGTGTTGATGCTGTGTTCTACATTTTATCCCGTGTTGATGCTGTGTTATTCATTTTATCCCGTGTGTTGATGCTGTGTAATACATTTTATCCCTGTGTATTGATGCTGCGTTATACATTTTATCCTGTGTGTTGATGCTGTGTTATACTTTTTATCCCTGTGTGTTGATGCTGTGTTCTACATTTTATCCCGTGTTGATGCTGTGTTATACATTTTATACCGTGTTGATGCTGTGTTATACATTTTATACCGTGTTGATGCTGTGTTATACATTTTTTCCCCATGTGTTGATGCTGTGTTATTCATTTTATCCCGTGTTGATGCTGTGTTATACATTTTGTCCCCGTGGGTTGATGCTGTGTTATACATTTTATACCGTGTTGATGCTGTGTTATACATTTTGTCCCCGTGGGTTGATGCTGTGTTATACATTTTATCCTGTGTGTTGATGCTGTGTTATACATTTTTTCCCCATGTGTTGATGCTGTGTTATACATTTTATCGCGGTGTGATGTCGCCTGGATATATAATGTCCCTGTGTAATGTCGCTGAGGTATATTCTGTGTGCTGACGCTGTGGGATATTTTCTGTCTCGGTGTTGAAGCTGTGGTATATGGCGTCCCTGAGTGTTAATGCTTTAGACTTTTCAGTCCCCGTGTGCTGACACCGTGGTCTATTTTGTCCCTGTGTACAGAGACTGTGGTATAATTTGTCACTGTATGTTGACGTTGTGGTACATATTTTGTCCCCGTGTACAGAGACTGTGATATAATTTGTCACTGTATGTTGACGTTGTGGTACATATTTTGTCCCTGTGTACAGAGACTGTGGTATAATTTGTCACTTTATGTTGACGTTGTTGTACATATTTTGTCCCCGTGTACATAGACTGTGGTATAATTTGTCACTGTATGTTGACGTTGTTGTACATATTTTGTCCTTGTATACAAACGCCGTTTAACACCTGGTCCTTGGTATGTATAATGATACTGGTATGTTTAGCTCTTTCGTGTAAACGTTGTTGTATATTTTGTGTTACGGCTTTGGTATACTTTCTCCTGGTATGTCGATTCTATGGTAAATGCTATTTTAGTCTGTTGACATTGTTCTGTATTTTGTCCTTCTGTGTTTGTGTTGATGCTGTGATGAATTCCGTTTCTTGTGTGTTGACTCAGTAATATCTTTCATTTTGCCCTTTAACATGATATTGATGCTACGACACATTTCGACTTACCACCAGTATATAGTTTCCTTGTGTGTTGACGCTGTACTAACTATTGATTAAGCAATAAATGGTATCCTTGTACCCACAGAAAATTACTATCTAATTTCATTGAAATTTGTAGTAAAACTCTTTTGAACATTTATCTCTAGTTTCCTTATTGTAACTCTAACCTTAATAATGTATACAAAAATATTTGTATAATCCTCAATACTGAGAGATTTGTTCATAATACTTCCTTCACGTATCTAATCTAGAAATATTTTCATTATGAAACAGGTAACAAATTTACATTATTGTCATGGCATTTGTTTTTGTTTCCTTTTCTATTTCATATAATGTAATGTACAATTTGTATTTGAATCTATTGTCAAAATATATGAATAAAACAAGGTTTAAACCAAGACTGAGAGATGATTAAATACCTTATTATTCGTTCGAATATGTTTGCCAATAAATACCTTTTAAGCATATATTTCTAGACTGTCATCAAATAATCATTTTGTTTTTTCAAAGGATATGACCCAGCACCACTGGTTTGATGTTGACAAAGCAGAAACACGTGGGAGTGCGATGGAAGACACAGGAACTAGGAATGGGATGACCGCCGAAGTCGAATGCCTTAATACAATCTACAGGTTCTGTAACAAACAGCAGTCTTGATAATGATATATAACAAATCAGAGTCAAAACGTATATCAAAAAATTGAAATAATGCGAAAATCAAGGCACGAACTATGTACTTATAACCAAATTTTATCATAATGTGTTTCTATATCAGAGGCATATGGCACAAAGTATAAGAGGCTATAATAAACACAAATGTTGGAGTCGCATTGCGTTTGCTCCGGAGTATTTTCCAACAGACAATGTCAATCTTGTTTGTGACGGTTGATTACTGACCACATCTGTTGAAGGTGTATGCTCCACAAAACATCAATTCAACGATGGTGATGGCGTACCAAGTGATAAGGTAAATGTATCTGTAAAGGTCATGACGCCAACGGTCAGATACTGGGTATGTTGATGTTGTATATCACCGTACATGTCTTATCACACATGGTCAGTTATAATTACTGAGTATGTTAAGGTTGTATATCGGCGTACAGGTCACGTCACAGATGGTCACTTACTGGATATGTTGATGTTGTATACTGCCGTAAAGGTCACGTCACAGATGGTCAGTTACTGAGTATTGATGTTGTATACTGCCTACAGGTCATGTCACCGATGGTCAGTTACTGAGTATGTTGCGGTTGTATATCGCCGTACAGGTCATGTCACCGATGGTCATTTACTGGGTATGTTGAGGTTGTATACTGCCTACAGGTCATGTCAACGATGGTCAGTTACTGAGTATGTTGAGGTTGTATACTGCCGTAGAGGGCATGTCACATATGGTCAGTTACTGGGTGTGTTGATGTTGTATACTGCCGTACAGATCATGTCCCCGATGGTCAGTTACTGGGTATGTTGAGGTTGTATTACTGCCTACAGGTGATGTCAGGTATGTTGATGTTGTATACTGCCGTAGAGGTCATGTCACAGATGGCCAGTTACTGGGTATGTGGATGTTGTATACTGCCGTACAGGTCATGTCACAGATGGTCATTTACTGGGTATGTTGATGTTGTATACTCCCGTACAGATCATGTCACCGATGGTCAGTTGCTGGGTATGTTGAGGTTGTATACTGCCTACAGGTCATATCACAGATAGTCAGTTACTGGGTATGGTGATGTTGTATACTGCCGTACAGGTCATGTCAACGATGTTCAGTTACTGGGTATGTTGAGGTAGTATACTGCCGTACAGGTCATGTCAACGATGTTCAGTTACTGGGTATGTTGAGGTTGGATACTGCCGTACAGGTCATGTCACCTATGGTCAGTTACTGGGTATGTTGAGGTTGTATACTGCCGTACAGGTCATGTCACCGATGGTCAGTTACTGGGTATGTTGAGGTTGTATACTGCCGTAGAGGTCATGTCACATATGGTCAGTTACTGGGTATGTTGATGTTGTATACTGCCGTACAGATCATGTCACCGATGGTCAGTTACTGGGTATGTTGAGGTTGTATACTGCCTACAGGTCATGTCACAGATGGTCAGTTACTGGGTATGTTGATGTTGTATACTGCCGTACAGGTCATGTCACCGATGGTCAGTTACTGGGTATGCTGAGGTTGTATATCGCCGTACAGGTCACGTCACAGATGGTCATTTACTGGGTATGTTGAGGTTGTATACTGCCGTACAGGTCATGTCACCGATGGTCACTTACTGGGTATGTTGAGGAGGTTGTATACTGCCGTACAGGTCATGTCACAGATGGCCAGTTACTGGGTATGTTGAGGTTGTATACTGCCTACAGGTCATGTCACCGATGGTCAGTTACTTAGTATGTTGCGGTTGTATATCGCCGTACAGGTCACGTCACAGATGGTCAGTTACTGAGTATTGATGTTGTATACTGCCGTACAGGTCATATCACCGATGTTCAGTTACTGGGTATGTGGAGGTTGTATACTGCCGTACAGGTCATGTCACCGATGGTCAGTTACTGGGTATGCTGAGGTTGTATATCGCCGTACAGGTCATGTCACCGATGTTCAGTTACTGGGTATGTTGAGGTTGTATAATGCAGTACAGGTCATGTCACCGATGGTCAGTTACTGGGTATGCTGAGGTTGTATATTGCCGTACAGGTCATGTCACCGATGGTCAGTTACTGGGTATGTTGATGTTGTATACTGCCTACAGATCACGTCACAGATGGTCAGTTACTGGGTATGTTGAGGTTGTATACGGTCTACAGGTCATGTCTCAGATGGTCAGTTACTGGGTATTTTGAGGTTGTATATCGCCGTACAGGTCATGTCACCGATGGGCAGTTAGTGGGTATGCTGAGGTTGTATATCGCCGTATAGGTCATGTCCCAGATGGTCAGTTACTGGGTATGTTGAGGTTGTATCCTGCCGTACAGGTCATGTCACAGATGGTCAGTTACTGGGTATGTTGATGTTGTATACTGCCTTACAGGTCATGTCACCGATGGTCAGTTAGTGGGTATGCTGAGGTTGTATATCGCCGTATAGGTCATGTCACAGATGGTCAGTTACTGGGTATGTTGAGGTTGTATATCGCCGTACAGGTCATGTCACCGATGGTCAGTTACTGGGTATGCTGAGGTTGTATATCGCCGTATAGGTCATGTCACAGATGGTCAGTTGCTGGGTATGTTGAGGTTGTATACTGCCGTACAGGTCATGTCACAGATGGCCGGTTACTGGGTATGTTGAGGTTGTATACTGCCTACAGGTCATGTCACAGATGGTCAGTTACTGAGTATGTTGAGGTTGTATACTGCCGTACAGGTCATGTCACAGATGGTCAGTTAGTGGGTATGTTGAGGTTGTATACTGCCTACAGGTCATGTCACCGATGGTCAGTTAATGGGTATGTTGAGGTTGTATGCTGCCTACAGGTCATGTCACAGATGGTCAGTTTCTGGGTATGTTGATGTTGTATACTGCCGTACGGGTCATGTCACAGATGGTCAGTTACTGGGAATGTTGATGTTGTATACTGCCGTACAGGTCATGTCACCGATGGTCAGTTAGTGGGTATGTTGATTATGTATACTGCCTACAGGTCATGTCACAGATGGTCAGTTACTGGGTATGTTGAGGTTGTATTACTGCCTACAGGTCATGTCACAGATAGTCAGTTACTGGGTATGTTAATGTTGTATAGTGCCTACAGGTCATGTCACAGATGGTCAGTTAATGGGTATGCTGATGTTGTATACTGCCTACAGGTCATGTCACATATGGTCAGTTACTGGGTATGTTGATGTTGTATACTGCCGTACAGGTAATGTCACCGATGGTCAGTTACTGGGAATGTTGAGGTTGTATATCGCCATACAGGTCATGTCACCGATGGTCAGTAACTGGGGATGTTGATGTTGTATACTGCCTACAGGTCATGTCACCGATGGTCAGGTACCGGATATGTTGATGTTGTATATCGCCGTATGTCACCGATGGTCAGTTACTGGGTCTGTTGAGGTTGTATACGGTCTACAGGTCATATCACAGATGGTCAGTTATTGAGTATGTTGATATTGTATACTGCCGTACAGGTCATGTCACCGATGGTCACTTACTGGGTATGTTGATGTTGTATACTGTCACATATGGTCAGTTACTGGGTATGTTGATGTTGTTTATCGCCGTACAGGTCATGTCACAGATGGCCAGTTACTGGGTATGTTGAGGTTGTATGTATGTTGAGGTTGTATAGTGCAGTACAGGTCATGTCACCGATGGTCAGTAACTGGGTATGTTGATGTTGTATACTGTCACATATGGTCAGTTACTGGGTACGTTGATGTTGTATACTGCCGTACAGGTAATGTCACCGATGGTCAGTTACTGGGAATGTTGATGTTGTATATATATATACTGCCGTACAGGGCATGTCACCGATGGTCAGTTACTGGGGATGTTGATGTTGTATACTGCCTACAGGTCATGTCCCATATGGTCAGTTACTGGGTATGTTGATGTTGTATCCTGCCGTACAGGTAATGTCACCGATGGTCAGTTACTGGGAATGTTGAGGTTGTATATCGCCATACAGGTCATGTCACCGATGGGCAGTTACTGGATATGTTGATGGTGTATATCGCTGTACAGGTCATGTCGCAGATGGTCAGTTACTGGGTATGTTGATGTTGTATACTGTCTACAGGTCATGTCACAGATGGTCATTTACTGGGTATGTTGAGGTTGTATATCACCGTACAGGGCTTGGGTCATGTCACCGATGGTCAGTTACTGGTGGGTATGTTGATGTTGTATACTGCCTACAGGTCATGTCACAGATGGTCAGTTACTGGGTATGTTGATGTTGTATATATATATACTGCCGTACAGGTCATGTCACCGATGGTCAGTTACTGGGTATGTTGAGGTTGTATACGGTCTACAGGTCATGTCACAGATGGTCAGTTATTGAGTATGTTGATATTGTATACTGCCGTACAGGTCATGTCACCGATGGTCAGTTACTGGGTATGTTGATGTTGGTTGTTTATCTCCATACAGGTAGTGTCGACGAATAGTTGACAACTTACCAGGTTTATTGTTGATGTGTATGTGGCCATAAAGATCGTGTCGGCGATGGTTCCACACAGGCATGTCTTTTCGAACTTTACTTAGAAATGAAAGGTCGACCTCGGCCACACAAAGTCCCGGATCTTCACCACACTGCGCCAGTACAGTCCCCCACGGATCGATAACCTTAACACATCAACCAACAGTAAAATTAATTTCCAACGGATCCACTACCCTAAAGGGTCTGTCACACATACCGATGTACACGTACCTCGCCGTAAATCAAAATTGACCGTAGAAATACCGATGAAGTACCGGTGTTCCACCGATATAAGAGCCGATGTGCTACCAAACACCACTTTTCTGTCACCTTAGTGTTACCGATGCGCCGCAAATGTTATATCGAGACGCCGCCGTTGTTATACCGATGTGCCACGGTTGATCATGACCGGAGCAATAGCGGAGTGATACCGGTTGCGCATAACTAAGAACGGTAGTACATCGATCGTTAGTACATCGGCGGCGCGTCAGTACTTCGTGGTATTCGGTAGTACTACTGTATCACATCGGTACCAGTACGGTACACATTGAGGCCACTGGAGAGACGCCGATCCATAACAGGGCGCTACTGATGCTCTACCGATAGTAACGAAGCCATACCGGAGTACTGCCGTTTTAGTCCCGTTGCTCACTTCGGCAGCGCAACGGCGGAAATTTTTGAACATTTCTTCCGTCGCCTGCCGTTGCTAATTTTTTTGCCGATGCTCTTACTGTACTACCGTTCTTAGCGATGTGAAACCGATGCGCTGCCGTACTAGTACCGATCCCCGAAAATCGCCAAATTTGTGCTCCGGTATAGCTCCGGCAACCCAAAACGGCTAGGTGTGATCATGACAGGACTTTTCATATGTCAACTGTAAGCATTGACCACCGAACCCATTTTTCTACGTTCAGCATGTTGTACACTATTTATCCATTTAAACACTAGTGAATAAATCTCTAGACAGTTTATAAGAAATATACTGCTCCAGGTTAAATAGAATAATATATTGTAAAAGTGGAAATTAGGTTGTGATATGTAAATGTTCATGTTCCTGTCTTGATAAAGCGACAGATCGCCCTGAAAATTCGACAAAATGCTTTGTCTGCGCTGTCGTTGATACTTCTTTGCCATTTAATGTATACACATAATTTATTTGCATGTTGGTGTTGTCGCGCTTATCTACTCAACGCAAAAAAACCCCCGAAAATTTCAAGTTTGGGTGCAGCATTATTTCTAATGAATTGTTGGCGTAATGTATCTATCACCAAATTTCAAGTCGCAATCAAACGTTCGTGTCTTACAGTCGTCCTTATAACAACACCAAGCTTCTCCGTGATAAAGGGTCACCTTGATTATTCATATTGAGAATCGGGAACTGACGACGAAACCACATGTCACACTAAAAAGTAAAATCAAAATTGCCCGCGGAGATCATTTTGACGACCATATAACCTGATAATTGTCTTGGTCAACTGTATCGTTTGTACGTAAGAAGTCGGCGACTATCACATGGACATACCAACGTCCTTGAAAATAGTAGTTGTTATTCCCTTCTAAACGTTTAGCAAACTAGGGAAATGGAAACAACTGGTTGATCAGTTGTCAGTATAATGTGACCGGGCGGAGAGCTGTGCTTGGTGCCTTCAGCATGGCATTTCAGTGAGATAGCCCTATAAAGTCGGCATCAGATCCGCGCTATCACAAGGAGGCAAGGACACCAACATATCCTGTCTCCTGCATACACACAAGCAAGCACGCATACACTATACACATGGAGGCACGTCCTTAAATGACCTTAGCTGGACATTAAACAAAATTAAACCAAACCAATTTATCACAGAAACCGTGTTGTTCAAAGCCAGACCATGGAAGACGGCTAACCAGTTTGTAATAATAAGGAGTGCATTTATAATTCATGGTGAACTGTGCTTCTGCGGTTTATAAAATTGTTTTATGAACTCGCCCACATCATGCTGGTTCTGAATGATCACAGCATCTAAACACACTGAATAAATGGAAAATGTACCATACCGTACCGTAAAAAACCTACAAAATACTGATTAAGTTGAAAGAAATTGAGAACTTTTTAGGAAACAAATGTAACTATCTTTCGTTAAAAAAAATAGTTTAAGTTCTGATGGACATCTTAAAAGCAGTTAGATCCCGAACTTCTTGTTATTCGAAGATCAAATATATCATCAACAAATCTGCATATGGAATTAAAAGATCGGGCAAATAACTTATCGCCTTTTTAATATCCTTTGTAAACGTTTATCTTCTCGAGAGAAAACGTGAATGAAAAAGAATATAGACAAGAGATCCCAGAGGGATCTTGGCGCCCACCATTGTACCATCTTCATTAGTTCTTTGTCAATTCGACCCAGAGGGGCCACACCCTCAGTTTATACAAAATTAAGTATCCTTTGCCTAAGGATGCTCCAGGCCAAATTTGGATAATATCCCTCCAATGGTACACGTACAGATGAAGGAAGGATCTTACAAATTTAAACCTCAAATCCCCCTATTTGGTCCCACCTCTCTGCACCTAGAGGGGCCACAGCCTCTGTTTATACAAAATTTAGTCCCACTTTCTAAAGATGCTCTGGACCAAATTTGGTTAAAATCCCTTCAATGGAACAGAAAAAAACGGTTTTTCCAGATTTAAACCTCAAATTCCCCAATTTGGCCTTTCCCCTCTGCACTTCTTGTTGGAAATGGTTTCATGATAGTTAATGATTTTATACTAATTCATCAATAGTTTCAAAGTGTTAAAAATTGCTCTCAATGAAAAAAATATATATTTACATTTAGCCTTTTTATCTTTCAATGCAATAAGTTTGTCCTATCCTTCACTTAAGAATCCCTGTCCCACCGCACTGTAGTTTTTCCTATTAACAGTTACCTCCCCTTAACTTATGTTTGGATACAAAATGTAGCCATTCGCTGAGTAGATAGTTCAGTCAGTAACAGCAGTAGTATAACAGTCTGAAGTCCTTTGTTAGAATCCCAGTCTAGCCCCCTTAAAATTTTACATTCAGAACACTGTTGTTGATTATATTTCATTTATTTCATTATTTTTTTCATAACTGTCTTGGTTTTCTTCCCAGAAATTATTTATCAAAGCTACATGTATAGTCATGCCATAAAAATAGTGTCCAATATTTTGTTACAGTGTAACTGTTTGTTAGTGGCATGCAGCTCTTTAAATCTATGAGTTTTCTTTTTATTTACATTATTTGGTCATAATCCTGATGTCAGTGAAAGTAACATAGTAATGAATATCAATTCTTGATATTTACATTACTGTAATCAACTTCAGCTTATATTTGATATATAAACCAATTAGCTTACAATTAAGGAGATAATGTCAGGTTTTGTTTCTAAGTTCATTCTTAGAATTAAGTTAGACATGCATCATGCATCCACCAGAACTCAAATTGTATCTGCTGTACTAACCATGGTCTATCTAACTTACCTTGGCCTAATTTACCATGGCCCATGGCCTACCTAACTTACCATAGCCTAACTTACCATGGTCTACCTAATTACTTATCATTGCCTAACTTACCATGGTCTAACTTACCATGGCCCATGGCCTACCTAACTTACCATGGTCTACCTAATTACCTATCATGGCCTAACTTACCATGGTCTAACTAAAATTACCATGGTCAAACTTATCATGGCCCATGGCCTACCTAACTTACCATGGCCTACCTAACTTACCATGGCCTACATAATTGTACCATGGCCTAACTTACCATCTAACCATGGCCTAACTTACCATGCCTAACTTACCATGGAATGGCCATAGGATGCACGCTTTTCATTATGTTTGCCTGTTTGTGCAGCAGCCACGACATAACACTGATTCTCTACAGCTCGACTCCGCAGCAAAATCTGAAGCAAGCCACCTAAACAATGACCACAATTTTTATATATTCAATTTCCTATGACCAGTTAATGTAATATTACTATGTAAAATCCATAAGAGTTTTATTTTGATAGCTATTACAATAAATTTGTTGAAATAATGTACTTGACCAAGATGTATTGTAATATATATATATGCGATAACAAGAAAAAGTATGTGACCTGAAATTGGTAGATACACTTGTACTTAATTTTAAGAATGAGTCTTTAAAACAAACAGTCTCATAGGATTCAATACATTAATCAATAGTGTATTTCTATTCTGTAGTCTCTATGGCAAAAGTAACACTGAATATATGCAATTAGAATTAAAAAGAAACACACTAGGTAAACAAATCAGGATCCAAGAATTGGTACCCCTGTACATATAATGTTACTAACCAGCTGTGTCACTGTGGAGACTGCAGCAAACATACCTCCCAGTAAGCCATCTTATCTAATTAGTAAACAACATCCCAATGAGCATAGCCTGACCAAATTCAATATGAAGACTGATGTGAATTTACTTCCAATAAGAACACCCTCAAATCAATGTGAAGACTGAGGTGAATTTATCTCCCAGTGAGTATGCCCTACAGTCAATGTGAAGACTGAAGTGAACTTACCTCCCAGTGAGTATGCCCTACAGTCAATGTGAAGACTGAGGTAAACTTACATCCCAGTGAGTATGCCCTTTAGTCAATGTGAAGACTGA